ATAAAAGAGGCACTCTGAAGAAGGGTAAAACCATTTCTACTGAAGGCTTTGAAGAGCATGGGGCCCCAGAAAACATTAGTTTCACTGCGATACGTCCTGAGCTAGTGTGACCTCATGGCCTTCTCTGCTCCCTTGCCTGGAAAGTGGACCCCTAAGGTCAACTTTAGGAGACAGCAGCAACTGGAGAGGCAGTGCACAAGACGACAGAAGACTGGAGCACTGGACTGAGAGTCAGACGGCTTGAGTTGCTGTAGATTTTCTGCCACTAATGAATGATGAAGGCATCAGGAACATCATTGAATTTCTCTCAATCTTTAACTTCCTTATCAATAAAAAGTCATCAGTCTCAGACTTTAGCTTTCTTATCAATAAAAACTCAGCAGTCCCATACATTCTATAGCATTTATCCTATAGGAGATCTGGTAGCGATATGTTATGTGCTGTGGAGTCGGTTCTGGCTCAGAGGGACCCTGTAGAGGGTTTCCGAGGATGTAAATCTTTACGGGAGCAGAAAGCCTCATCTTTCTCCTGCAAAATGGCTACAACTTTCAAACTGCCAACCTTGAGGTTAGCAGCCCGATTCGTAACCACTACGCTACCAGAGCTCCTTAGTCATCACATTAGGAGTGAGTTAATTAAATGTTTGACCAAATAGACCAGCCTAAAATTTAAGCTGATTATTTTCTATGGCCTGTGAAGGATGCTATAAATTTGGGGAGATACTGTATAGGGTTTCTGAGGTGCAACTGGTGAGTTTGAACTACCGATCGTCTGGTTCAAAATGACCTTCTTTCACTCCAGTGCTTATCCTACACTACCACACCAGCACTTTTTTAGGAAAGTTACTCTTTGACCTCCTTAAAAACGACTTCTGACAAGCTTTACAAGTTAGGATCAGGGAAAGTATGCGGTCCTTCATGAATCATCCATATCCATATCCCATAGCATCCGCAATTTGTCTCCAGTGCCACCAGCAAGCCCTAAAGTTCAACACCAGAATTTTAAATGTCCCTTGTACAGTCTAATTGCACATACCTCACTGCTGTTAAGAGTCGTTAAGTGAATTCCCACCCATAGCCGCCCATTATCGGTTTTCCAAAGAACAGCTGGTGAGCTTGAACCACCGACATTGCAGTTCAAATGACTATACAGTCTGACACATTAGCCAACAGCGCCACACCACGATTCCACCTCTTA